TCATCAGAATTGCTCACTCGCACGAAACAAAAGTACGTACTAATGACCAGTCATTTAGATGGGTCAGGTCGTCCATGGTAGACTAAGGGTAAAGTCTATTGCTCTTTGTGTGCATCGCTTAGGACGTATGTGACTGCAAAGAAGTTTGTCTTGTAAATGTCTTATTCAAACTGCGCTATGGACATTTTTAGATGAACATTGATAGTCACATATAAAGCACTCCAGCATATGCGCATATGCTCTCTATAAATTTTCTGAATGTTAAGACCAACATACTAAATCAGCGAACGTGAAAATTAAACTCACTTTTTCTAAATTGGAGAAGAGGCGATAAGGACTTTGGATCTTATTTACCAGTAGCTGTCCCGCAATGATGAGAAAATGCATCGAGAAGCTAGGGTTAGTCAGGGATCAAGCCTTCAAAAGGACAAAGTGTATCTCAGGAGGATCTGTAGATGAGCAAGAGGCACTACCCGTTTATCACAGTTTCAGTGAGATAATCATGAATTCGGTGAGATATCGTTACCGGGAGTCACACTCCCAATATTATTTATGTCATCTTTTGTACCATTTAGTGTGAACCTTAAAAGTTTTGATAAAAGGATATCAACGTTATCGAGCTATCTAGAGTAGACGTAGCTGCATTCGGTGTGATTAGGGAACATGATATTTGGGAGTGCCGTGAAAGATCTAACACTCTTTTTAACTTTCAAGCGTGTTCATTTACTACCAGTAAGCCTCCGCTTTGAAATTATTTTTAAGATAACGGCATCAAGCCGTGAGCCGTGGTCCGCGAAGCAGCAGATCCCCGAAGTGTTAATAACTCATTTGTGCAGAACCAGAAAGGATAATAAGGCTTTTAATTACAAAGAGCACTGTGTTCAAAATAACTTTCGGACAGCAGTGGTATACCGTCCCTCATTAGCAATACTGGAGAGGCGGCTGAGTCAGACGAAGCAAAGTCTGAAAAGCTCTCAGAATACTCTCGGGATGTTTTTCCGCCTAAATGCACCGGTCAGGGGGTTGACAAAGTCACTGATGTAGCCACTGAAATGCCCACAATTATGACAGAGGATGCAGTGGTTCTCAAACTACTGTCTAAAATTAAGCTAGGTAAGTCACCTGGAGCTGACGGACTTCACCCTGTACTGCCAATCTCCTTGGTGGAAGTAATTAACCTCCCACTTGCGGTGATTTTTCACAAGTCTCGGACCCAGGATAGGCTATCCGCGGACTGGAAAAATGCTTCCACAAGCCCCATCTTCAAAGAGGGGAACATGCAGTCTTTATCTAACTACCAACCTGTAAGTCTGACCTGCATTATAGCAAAAGTGTCAGAAACACTCATAGGGTATGATAGAGAAGATTTGTAGCTCAGGTGGATGATTTTGATGTGGTTTTGTTCTCATCTACAAAATAAACTGTAACAACTGTGAAAAACACTACATTGGCCAAAGTGGACGTCCCCTTCGTCTTCGTATCCACGAACATAAGCTAGCCGTCAAAAGACATGATATACACTTCCTCATTTCACTACACACAGACAACCACGGACATCAATTCAACTGGGACAACGTTCAAATATTAGACAGAGGAAAGAACAAGAATGCTAGAGAATTTTTAGAACCTTGGCATTCCAGTGAATCATCAATCAATAGACACATAGAGATAGACAAAATTTATCAACCGACAAGAAAGAAACTTCACACACAAAGAGTCAAAGCTCAAGCCAAAGAAACAATCAGTTCCAACACAAGTAACCTAGAAGGTGTGAAAACACACATAAACAACCTATCACGTCCAAGGTCACCAGGAGGAATGATTAATAAACTTGGGGAGAAATTTAAAAGCTCACTTCAAATTGAAGTATGCGCTGAAGATGTCACCTAGCAGGGTGATGAAAGCTTCGCAAACTAACCATCCAGCTCAGAGAACAAAACCACATCAAAACACTCATAAGGGATCAGCTCTCAACTCATATGGAGAAACGTGGCTTATTGGCAGTAGAGCAGCAGGGATTCCGGCCACCATGATCCTGCTTGACAAACTTACTGTTAGCTAGCAAGATTGGGTCGAGGCCAGGGATAAAAAACATCTACTGGACGTTGTCTTTATCGATCTTAGTAAAGCATTCGATAAGGTATCCCATTTAGGTCTTCTTAGTAAACTTAAACGTTTTGGGTTAGACCAACGCTTATGTGAATGGTTTAGTGATTGCCTGATGGATAGGGGGCAGAAGGTAAGGGTCAATGGTATACTGTTAAGGTGGAAGGCAGTACTAAGTGGAGTACCTCAGCGAACTGTACTTGGCCCTCTGCTATTCCTATTATGCGTAAATGAAGTGCCGAAAATTCTTACCTCATCTTCCTTATTATTTAAATAAATAAATTTATTCTCATGATACAGTACATGAGGGACGCCAGTTTACAAGCATCATCAAATTGTTACGGAAATATAACCATATTATTCAGTCACAATTTACAGTCGATAGCAAAATATGTTTAACACTAACATTAGGGTTGCACCTGATTTAACACCATGCCAAAGGCGATGCCGCTCAGGAACAGTGAACCCTGATAACTCTAATAGGATAACTGTAGATGATGTTCCGTGCGTTATTCCGTCTATTGAAATATCTGATCACGGCATGCAACAGACATTTTCGCAGGTAGTGGCTAATGTTAGCCAAGCATTATATAACGATATTGATGCAGACACTGAAATGGTGGACATAGATGAGTCAACGGGAAATAATGTTGAAATACATCGTTTTCACACTGACGCAAAAGTCAAGACACCGAAACCATCAAAACCCATCCCACTGGTGGTCCAACCATTGCCTTATAAGTCAGTTACTCCTCGTCTGACAATCCACACTCTGTAAAGCACCAGTCGAATGTAGCCACCCAAGTTGGCAAGTTTTCTAGGCGTTATGACAAACGTCCCATTTCCATTAAGAAAACTAAAGCTCATGAGGTGTTCAAGCCACAGAAACCCTACATAGCATGTGCTGACTGCCCTGTTAGCCATCATCAGCCAGATGATCATAAGATAAGGGAAAAAGAAGTAAATAAATTAAATACTAAACCCGGAGCAAGAAAGCTCTTTGATAAGAAAGAGACGAAAGCACCTGTAGGCCTTCTTTGTAAGAGAAAGTCAAATATGGTAGACGAAGCTCCTAGGGGTAGGCCTAATTGGTGCCAAGTGGAAAGCCAATTTTATCGAATCCCTAATTCTAGACAAACAGCACAGCAAAGTAGTAGGTATTGTTCTGCACATCCACTACGTAAACCCCTTGTCAACCAGCCCACTTCTAATATTCTGTCTACTGAAAGTTATAGAAAATACCCCAAACATCGGCCACAGACCACATTTAGCAAGCCAACAGAACCCATTCATATATCTTATGTGTCTAGTGGGGAGCATGTGCCGATTTCTGCACAAAACTTGCCATGGTCTGATGAATACCAGAAACAGATACCAACACTTCATTCTTATACTGGCAACAAATTACCGAATACACATATCGGTTATACCTTAGGGCAGGATTTTCACCAGCGTCAGTTAACAGAAACACCTGGAATCATGCATATAGCACGCATGATATCGGATCAATTCCTTGCTGGCATAGCGAACAGTCTACAGCTAGGGCAAGGCATATTTCCCGGGAGATAGCTGACACAGTGTCGACACCAAACGCGGATACTAATATCTCTAAAATATTAATATCTGATTATCACACAGGTGTCTCTCACTGCATACCATATCCAAACGTAAGCCCATCCCTGACTACCACCTCAAAAATCTACCTGAAGTCTTCCTACGATCCAAAGATATTGGTAAATGAGTCTGATAACATGTATATAGAGGATACTCACGGATTATTTTACCAAGATGTTGTCCGCTCACTGAAACCACATAGCCAGTGTTTATCTATTATCCTAGTAAATACGAGATCAGTTCTAAGCAAACATTTAGCACTAAGTACAATAGCTTCTATATGCAGACCGTCATTGATTATGATCACCGAAGCCTGGTGCACAAGTGAAATCTCCAATGACAGCCTAAGGATTGATAAATACAACCTTTTTCGCGGGGACAGACGGACAGGTCGTGGGGGTGGAACACTAATTTACTGTGAACAATCCATGTGTGCAACCCAGTTTAGTAACCCAATTCTGTCACAACTCAATGACTCGATCTGGGTCGAAATAAAAGTTGTCAGAAGTAAACCTATACTTGTGGGTTGTGTGTACCGGCCCCCTTCATCCAGCAGGGAATATGATAATATGCTTAGCAATATCTTTAATGTTACAGCCAATCTTCCTTTCAGTTATAAAATTATCGGAGGCGATTTCAACTTGCCAGAAGTATCATGGTCTTCACTCCGAGGACCCCAAAGGTACGATAATCTCATAAATTCCATCGTCACAGGAGGGTGGACACAACACATAAATTCACCCACTAGATCCGCAAATATCCTAGACCTTATTTTCACGAACAACATAACGCCATCTACCGTACATGTTGGACATGAATTTCCAGGTAGTGACCATAGAATAGTAGTTTGTTCTTTTGACATCTTTCCTGAAACAAAACGCAGAGATGAAGCTGGCCAGATACCTATGAGATTGTACACACATGCTGACTGGGACTTGTATCAGCACCTAATTAGATGTTCTAATTGGGACTCGTACTTTTCGAACCAGTCCTTAGATGCAATTCTTAACAACTTCTATCAGAATATTAACTCAATTCACGACGTCATTGCACCCGAGAAGATTCTTAACTTCAGATTCCCCCAAAGTGATTATATTCCGACATCGTTTAGAAGAAGTCTACGTAAGCACTCAATAAAATACTACAGATATCATGACTTATCGTCATTAATTGCCATAACGTCCCTTCTCAGTAGAATTGAAGAGTTGAGAAATATAGGCCTCAGAAACAAAGAAATGCAGGCCATTCATGCACCGCATAACTCAGGAGAAATAGCCAAACTTTTTAAAAGTAGGTTGATGAACTCCAAAACACCCTATCCGAAAATAATATACTTAGACGGCATTGCTTACGAAAATAATGAGGCGATATGTGAACTGTTTAGCAAGCACTTCGCCAGATTATACACCTTAGAGAACGATGAAGTCGTGGATTTCCCACGTAAAACAGACGAATGTTTAAGTGACATAATTTTCACCACACATGAGATCGATAAAGCTGTCGCAAATCTTAAGCTTAGTAACACTACTGGCCCAGACGGTATATCTTCCGTTCTGCTGAAAAAAGGTGGTAATGACATGAGTTTACTCTTACTCAAGTTATACTCAATTTCATTAAGCGATGGGACATACCCTAACTGCTGGAAGAAGTCTTATATTGTACCTATCCATAAATACGGGCCTATAGCTGATATCAACAACTACCGCCCCATCAACATCACGTCTGTAGTTTCACGTGTAATGGAAAAGATAGTTAAGACTCAAATCATTCAGTACTTGCTGTCAAATGACCTACTATCCCCATCCCAATACGGTTTCTTAAGTAGAAGGTCGTGCATTACTTGCCACTTAGATTATTTTGACTACATCACACAAAGCATTGATAATGGGCGTTCGGTAACAACATTGTTTCTTGACGTTAGCAAGGCCTTCGATAAAGTCCCACATATCAGACTCCTAACAAAACTCCAATCCTACGGAATAACCGGAAATCTTCACAAATGGATAAGTTCTTTTCTCACAGAAAGAGAGCAATTAGTCAAAATCAACCACCAGTTGTCTTCCTCAAAGCCGATAACCAGTGGTGTAATACAAGGTAGTGTTCTTGGCCCTATTCTATTCCTCTTATTTATAAATGACATAGTCTCTGTAATCAAGTATGGCAAGCCATACCTTTTTGCAGATGATCTCAAGATAGTATATGATTATGGGTACGGTGATATGAGCGTCGAAAGCAAGATCCAACAAGACTTAAATGATCTAGGCGATTGGAGCGAAAAGTGGCAACTGACTTTCAACCCAGACAAGTGCGGTATAACCCACCTTGGACGCTGGAAACCGATAATGTGCCTATATATGTACGGTAAGCTCCTCTCAAAACTGAACACAGTCACAGATCTCGGGATAACATACTCAGATTTATCCTTTTCCGATCACGCAAATAAGGTTGTATCTGACTGTAAACGACTTACTGGCTTTGTACTGCGTAACTTCTACACCCAAGAAGCAAGATTAGCTATATATAGGACATGTATCCGTCCCAAACTTGAATATTGTGCTCTCCTATTTAGTAACCTCAGGACTGTAGACAGAAAAAAAATCGAAAGTGTCCAGAGATTCCTCACGAAACGCATAATAGGGTTCGACCAACAAGTGGAATATGTTGACAGGTGTGTACGTCTGAAATTAGAGCCTCTGTGGTTAAGGAGAGTGAAGTGCAACCTATTTCTACTCTTCAAAGTCATTAGGAAACACTGCTACAGTAACTCATCCATAACGTGGGAAAATATTAAATCATATCAGCTGCGAAACCACGACTACCTTGTCAAGGTGGCTACCCACAGAAAATCCATTAGGGCAAACTTTTTCACCATAAAATATTGCACTCTTTGGAACCAACTACCACCTGAAATAAGATGTTGTGAAAACCCTGATGGGTTCAAACGGAGCCTAGAAAGACACTTTAACATGTCCACCCTAGCTCGTCTAAAAGACCACAACTGTTGGTAGAACGGAAATTGAAGGCCAGTCCAGTCTTCAGTATAGTCACATACGTATATCTCGACTCTAATACTCACGCAGCGAACGTTAACTAATTTACTGATTTCTATTCTCTATAATTTTCACTAAGTTGTGTTGGTAAAAGTAACACTGGAAATAATTGTAATAGCATCCACACCTTTTAACGTTTTACATATGTATATACTAATATAATAATACTTATTAATCATGCATGTTCAATTCTTAAATTAGATGGTTATTAAAATACTTAAAATATTTATGCATCAAATGTTCTCTTGCTTTACCACGCTTGTTTCCCTTATAACACTCAATTATTGAGCCTAGTGTATTATTTGATATACGAATTATATTATTGATTATACTCTTATCATATATGGTTTGATTTACTCTACGGCTCCCTGTAGACTAACCACCATTCTTCAGTATACACACACTGCAGTATTGTTAAAAAATGCCAAAATTTTGTTGGTTCTGTGTTAATATCTTTTTATAATATGTCTAGACACGTTACTTTGCAATGTCAGATGTTTACTATATATAAGTACACTAAGTCCTGCCAACCGACCTTACCTTCAGTCCATACTACCTAAATTGAACCTTAACTATAGTGTTCTGCTAAATCTTGCTCCACCATTCACAATACCTATTCGTTTCACTCTTTAAGGTTTTAACTTCTTATAAAGTAATCTGTTCATTAGGATGCATGCACACATATATAATATGTTCATAAAGATGTATGTGGAGACCTATTGGAAGCACTCATTAAGAAAGCTAGGGAGATGGAATATGGGGTACGAACATGTCTGGTACCAAGCAATATATTTGCGGTAGCCATAATAATCATAGTCTCAGAGCCTAACATCAAAAAAGGAGGGAGGGTGGTGCTAGCTGATCAGTAGATATGGTGGTGGTCACTAAGGTGAATCGCCCCATTCTGCAGGAACAGCAATACGCAATTTGAAGGCTCGAGATATTTCTGATTTTTATGAGGGCTTAGATCTTTATCTTGAAAAAGATAATAATGAACGCCTTGACAGATAATGCTTCTACCTTTAAATATATACCATTCGCTCAGCCTATTGTTGAGATGCGACCGCGTGGGATCTGCACAGATTTATGGGGCATCTTATCAATTAACTTGCTATCCATTGTCAGATCTTTAAATACCACTTCACAATATCTTGTCTCACTTATTTTCTAATAACGTCTTTACTTGATCCTCATTATATTCCATTAAACCTAACATTTTATAGCTCTTTATGAATTTGATTCTACTTATTCTATTCCTATTCTCTGGAGGGTACGGTTGTGCACCAAATAGAAAAAAAGACATGAAATAAAAACAACTGGCTTGAAAATAATTGTATTAAAGCCAAAAGTTGACATCATGATAGTACAAAATATATTGGTTCTATTATACATTGCAAATGAACGTTGTCGGCCTAAGGATTAATTACTTCCCCATTCTGTTTTCTATATAAATGTGTTTATTAATGATATATTTCACTCACTTAATCTATTACACTTTAATGTTTCACCTTATCACTTTAACTTTTCTAAAACAGCTTTTAATCCCTTGTAAACGTTGCACTTACCTCAATATTGGTTGGCTATCGTATGCCTACAACCACGGGATGAAAACGAAACGAAGTCGATTTTCCCACTCAACCTGGAGGACAATTGTACAATTCAATAACTATACGGCCTGGTTCAGACAATGAGTCTTTCAATCCATTGCGAACGTTGTACTTACCTCAATATTGGTTGGTTATCGTATGCAGACAACCACGGGATGAAAACGAAACGAAGTAGATTTTCCCGCTCAACCTGAAGGACAATTGTACAATTCAATAACTATACAGCCTAGTTCCGACAATGAGTGTATTTATATATATATCAAATATTTAACTGTTGAAACATTATTAACTTGTAGACAATCTATGATTTGATATTATATCATACTTGATCGTGCCTGTAAAAATGGCATGCATTTTCATGTAAATTTATGTTTATATGAGAATATACATTATTATTATTATTACTATTATTATGTACGCTGGAGATTATACATACACTTGATAAATGTTAATCCCAATAGTATAAAACAGCCTTTTCACTTATGTACAATCATTTCTGTGCATAGTTGGAAAAATCTGCTAGACTGTCAGTGAGTGCAACACATCAGGAAATACAGAAGAATTGTCTTCACATTAATAAAAAACCAGGTCTTTGGTGGATGGGTTAAAAGTGCCTGGGAAAAAATATAAAGCTTGAAGTCAGTTTTCATACATAATTTTGTTGCGTACAGAATCCTTGATTTATAGTTCATTGATGTGTTATTTTGAAATCAGTGATATGTTTATCTCATTTGATCTGCAATGTCATTGTTGGGAGTAAAATACATAAGCTTTAGACGCATTAATTAATGGGTTTCTACTGCTTGTGGGTATTTACTTCTAGTGAGGAGGGTTTTTGAATTTTAGTTGTTCCGATAGGAGTTGTGGATATTGACTGCCCAGCAACATTACGGATATAAGTTCATCACATTATCTCAGGAAAGTTGGGTTGTAGTTGGTGAGGCATATATGATGCCCGACGAGCGTACATCTGTCCATGTGATGTTGTGGTGAGTTATGCCTTTTTCATGTTGTCGGTTTATGTCCATTTTATTCCACCTATTGTGTTGGGTAGAAATTTTACAAACGAAACTTCTTGTCTGTTTAAGAGTAAGTATCTTAATCGTGAATGTTTTATCTAAAATTATAAATATGGGCAAAAAACAACAGGTGTAGTATTTAAGCTTATACATTAAATGGACCTATAATTTCGGAGGCTCTCAGATAGGAACTAGGACTACAGTCATTTGCAAACTCGTGTAGTTTGTCGTTAAGCACTTTATTGAATGAGGCCAATGTACCTGCTTGACGCATTTCCATTGGTAGTTTATTCCATATCTGTGCAAACCTAATCAAGTGAAACTTTTGCCTGGTAGCTGTTTTACATTGTTCGATAGCTACTGTGCCCTTAGTGTGTCTTAGTTTGTAGCCACTGTCATTTGAAAGTCGAATGCCATTAGTAGAGGTAAAAACTAAGTGGTTTAGAAGCTTATAGTAAAGTGTTAAGTTTAGTCTCAGGCGTCTTAGTCATAGTGTTTCTAGTCCTAGGGTATCAAATCTATTGGAGTAGTTCGCACCATTTTCTGTTCCGAGTAATTTTGAAGTGAAGTACCTCTGCACTCCCTCGACTTTCAATTTGTCCTCTATGCGTATACTACTATACATGAATGAACAGTAATCAAATAAAGGACGCACACAAATCTTGTACAACAGAATTCTGAACTCATTTCTGTAAAAGTTCCTGAGTAGAAAGCCGGTAAGTCTGCGTGACTTTGACACTTGTTTGGAGATATGTTCAGAAAATGATAAGTCGTGTGAGTATTTCAGTTCTAGGTCCAATACACATTCCAGTCGTAAAAGTGCATGGCCTTGAATTGTCAGGTCAAGTTCCAAGTTGTCGCAACCTATGCAGAGCCAGCCACATTTGTCGACATTAAACTGGAGTTGCCAGGTGTCACACCATCTATCCATTTTTTCTAATTCTTGCTGTATGGCGTTTACTGTTATTCCGAGATCTGTGTTCTTGCATTTATAGGTCACTTTTAAGTCATCTGCATATAGTATTGGTTTACCAACACTAATGCATTCACAGATACTGTTTATATATATTATGAATAGGAGTGGGCCTAGTACACTTCCCTGGATTACACCACTACTTACTGGTTTAGGCCTTGAGGCAGCGAAGCGTTGTTATTTTATTAAGGAGAGATCTAGCATTCAGGAGCATAATTGTTAGTAAACCAGAGTTCTTGGAGGAGAGCTTAACATGGTTACTTGTCACTATCCCTACGTTATGTTTGGAGGGGCTCTGAGGTGAGACAGAGTCAGTGTGTGTACTATTTCTTGGATGAACTGTGCAGCGAGTGGGGCTATTTTTTGCTGCAGCCGAAAATAATCCTGTTGCATATTTTGACTGTTAGCATCCATGGTCGGCATCTGTGTTCATCTACTGGTGATATATGGTCTGCCCGGCAATCTGGGTTGTAGTTTACTGGACCTAGGTACCCTGTGTTAAGATTACCCTGGTAGTTGTACCTCATGGGGCTTTCATAGCCGTATGCATATTGGCCCACGTCACGTGTGTGGGTGAAGTTATTGAGGGGATCAAGTGTCGACCTGTTCTCATTATGTTGATGAGGTTTAACATAGATGGTACGAGAATTCGGACGAGAATTTTCGTTAATATGGTGCTTATATGAGTCACGTTTAGTGCTCCATATATCCTGAGGATCCATTTTACGTTGCATTCCTAAGTTATGTGCGTTGTTAGGCATGTTACTTCTAATTCGAGAAGGGGTATTCCTGCTCACATGCTGCGTGACGTCTTTGGGAATGTGCTTCGTTACCCATGCTTTGTCATTTTTTAGACTGACACACCACTTATTAGACTTATTACGAGGGAAATATGTCGAAGTCTGGGGTGGGACTTTTAGTTTTGTGGTCTTTTTTGCCCTTTATACTGAGGGACTCTCTGGCTTGGATCCAGATTGAGTGTGGTTTGCCAGTAGTTTCTGGTCAGCCATAGTTTGTGCGTTTATGTCAACCTTATGTAGGTCAGCAGGTTTTCGAGATGTGCTCTCGTGCGCTCTAAGTTGCACCCAGTGGCACTGCTCTTACTGAGTTTTGGGTCGCTCCTACCTGCCGTTTTTTCTCCAAACACTATACACGTGACTTGCTATCCTTCAGTGTCCGTCGACACTTAAGCAGAGATACCACATGTATTTCTCAGTGTTGTCAACTTTGTGTCGAAGGAGTTCTTGGTTGCTTGCCTTTGGTTTGGTGTTATATCCGAGCCTACTTTAAAAGTCTTGAATTTAGTGGCAGTAGCCAGAAGATATTCGAACATCTTAAATGGTTCAGCTGTAATGCAGCTGTCGAAACTAAAGAGTATAGCACAAAGATGATTTAGGATTTTTTGCATCGGCGAATGCACTGACAACGTGCTGTCGGTCACGTCTCGTAAACCGTTAATGCCCAGCCATTGCCACGATCGGGCTCACGCTGTTCCTTGAAGTTTCTCAGAAACGCTTAGTATTAACGGACGAAAAAACCAAAAGACCAATTGTTGACTCGAGGATTCTTTATTGTTACACCAACATATAAACAATGTTACAACTAAGGTCTGTGAACAAATATTACAATAATAAATCACAAGATTACTTCTGATTGTTTTCTGCTGACTTCTTTCTGAACAGCGACCGATGAGACGATGACTGTCGTATTGATGCCTCCGCGAAAATTGGGGAAGTTGATTTTGAGCAAACAACCATGAATTGATCGTTCAATCTTCAACTCCATTGACACTCCCCGGCAAAAAAGGGATCCAACCCTTTTTTCCATCACGACCAATACACGTTGACTTGGATGCCATTGCGAGAACCTGGGTCACACGGACAGAGCTGAAATGGAAAACAAACAGAAAAGCC